TGCATACATGTTTCGTAGGCTGTAGATTACAAATAATGAGTTTTCCTCCATACTTTTTATTTTTCAGCGGTAAATTCCCACTTGGTATGATTTGAAGTGTTGTGCCCAATGTAATATTTACAGCGGCCAATCTAAAATATGTTAATATATTTATGTACATAGATATGTTGTTTTTAATATTGTATGTATATACATATGTACCTCATGCAAAGAATTAATTATATGTGCAATGTGTTTTGCCTTTATTTCTCTTTTTTAAATAATGGTAAAACTTTTTATGGCATAAAATTTTGATGGATGCCACTATCCAATTTCTGCGTAGAATTGCTCGGTGATTGCGAAAATCGAGCTTTTTTTTAATCGATACGTTTTTGAGATATTTGCAATTTACCGTTTTTCGGCTTAAAACAAAAAGTGGTTCCACTTAATCACGTATATCTCACGAACTAACAATGAAGGAAAGGGAGGGATAAATACAGAAGTAATGAGTGGTCAACTCAAAATACGTAAACATTTTGTATGAAATATGAACAGAAAAGCGTTACTAAGGTTTACGTGGCGTATGAGTAACTTTCTTTCAAGCTAATTTTTCATGCAAACAATTTTTGCGTACTTTAATTTGACCATTCATTACTTCTTTATTTGTCCCTCGCTTTCCATCATTGTTGGTTCGTAAGATATACGTACGTGATTAAGTGAAACCCTACTGAAAAGGAAAGAAGAAATTTTAAACGAATAAATTCTATACAAAAACTATAATTGTTTTAACCATAACCGAACAATTGTTTGTGTATACATGCATTTGTCNTACTTCGGACTTTTTCTGACTATTTCTGGGAGATAAGGAACGCGCATTTTTTAATCGATAGGTTTTTGAGATATTTGCAATTTACCGTTTTTCGGCTTAAAACAAAAAGTGGTTCCACTTAATCACGTATATCTTACGAACTAACAATGAAGGAAAGGGAGCGATAAATAAAGAAGTAATGAGTGGTCAACTCAAAATACGTAGACATTTTGTATAAAATATGAACAGAAAAGCGTTACTAAGGTTTACGTGGCGTATGAGTAACTTTCTTTCAAGCTAATTCTTCATGCAAACAATTTTTGCGTACTTTAATTAGACCATTCATTACTTCTTTATTTGTCCCTCGCTTTCCTTCATTGTTGGTTAGTAAGATATACGTGATTAAGTGAAACCTTACTGAAAAGGAAAGAAGAAATTTTAAACGAAAAATTCAATACAAAAACTATAATTCTGTGTTCGTATGGAAAAGTAGCTTATGTCGAAAGGCCGGCTTTAGTATAATGCGGCATTCCCTTTATTTTTTAAACGACAAGGAATTTTTTGATGAGACTTAAAAAGAATATTGACTTGCTAGTATCGGAACTATTTCTTGCACGTTTATTTGCTAAAAGTTGTTTAACGGCTTAGCGCCCGTAAGTCATTCGCAATCGTATGCTGCGAATGCCGATTTATACTAAAGCCAGCCTTTCGACATAAGCTACTTTTCCATACGAACACAGAATTGTTTTAACCATAACCGAATATTTGTTTGTGTATACATGCATTTGAGGGTGCTGTCAACTAAAATTTCCTAAATCAATTATGAAACAAAACAGAGTTGATCACAAATTGCTCCAGATTTTCAAACTTACGTGGAGTGCATGAGAGCCATGTCTAAGTCCCGCTCTGGGAGATCAGCTTCCCAGTCAAGCACATTATCTAAAAGCAAGCCACCACGACATGCACGAACTCGTCCATCCTCACCAGAGCGACACCTGCCGCCACAAGGCTTTTGACCCACGGTCTCCGCCGCTGTTTTGCGCACGAATTGGCGCCTGCATTTGTTGCATTGATCCACAAACATATTGCCGTGGAGCTCAGCTAAGAGATGTCGTGATAACCCTGACTTCAAATGCAGTCCATCGATGTTTTGACTGACAATGTATCGCACATAACCATGCTGTGTTAGCGCTCGCAACGCCATATGTGTTTTTGTTGGTTTTGCGTGGTTAAAAGATACATTTATGGTAGGTTTTTCACCTTTTTCCTCCAATGTCCACACACCTTTCGGACCTCTGCAAAATCTTTAAACTCCCTTATTTGTAAGAAAAATAATCTATCGGGCTTACCGGAAATCGGGTATTCCAGCGCTGGTGCTTACACCTGCGCCTGTATGTACTACGATACGTCCACGTCCGGCTAACATCCAATCTACTAGTTCGGCGCATTTCTTCTCGACTGTTTCGGGACTATCAAATTGCTATTTCAAAGAATGCAGACCTAGTAAATAGTTTCATATTAGATTTTAACCTACCTCTGGTAAACCTAAAATGCCTTTGTTTTCATATGGCGATAAACCATCCGCGTAATTGCAGCTCATGTTTTTCTTCAAATTAAAATTAACCAGGGCTAAGNCCATGCTGTGTTAGCGCTCGCAACGCCATATGTGTTTTTGTTGGTTTTGCTTGGTTAAAAGATACATTTATGGTAGGTTTTTCACCTTTTTCCTCCAATGTCCACACACCTTTCGGACCTCTGCAAACTCTTTAAACTCTCTTATTTGTAAGAAAAATAATCTATCTCGCTTACCGGAAATCGGGTATTCCAGCGCTGGTGCTTACACCTGCGCCTGTATGTACTACGATAGGTCCACGTCCGGCTAACATCCAATCTACTAGTTCGGCGCATTTCTTCTCGACTGTTTCGGGACTATCAAATTGCTATTTCAAAGAATGCAGATAGTAAATAGTTTCATATTAGATTTTAACCTACCTCTGGTAAACCTAAAATGCCTTTGTTTTCATAAGGCGATAAACCATCCGCGTAATTGCAGCTCATGTTTTGCTTCAAATAAAAATTAACCAGTGCTAAAGAACTTTTTGCTACAATAAAAAAACGGAGGAAAATGTCTACCGAATTTTGAATAATGGCACCTTTTCTAGAGCTGTAGAATAAATAGTCGATGTTTTAATGGATTTGTTATTTTTGTCGTCATCGATAGTTCTTCACACTATGGGCACTGTCACACGGTCAGTATTTATTGACGTGATCCATGATTCAATAATAGGTGCGTTCGTTTAAAATCTCCAGCAGAAACCAACCAACTGCCAAATTCCGGCGAAATGTCATCTGTTCGCTCACAAGAGAGAAATATCCAAAATAGTACGCGAACAGAAAATTTGCAGAAACTTGCAAGTTAGACGAACAGCTGATATAATNGCAAGTTAGACGAACAGCTGATATAATTTTTGTTTACATTCAAAAGTGTAAAATTTAAAACGTACGAAAAGTTATCACAAAGTGTTATACTGACACAATTATTGATTAAACAAGATTTCTTACAAGTTTAATTAGTCGCATTTTGTAATTTTTAACTTCCAA